GAAACAATCAAGAGTGAAAAGGTAGCTTCTAGAATGGAAGAAAATGTTTGCAAACCATACATCTGGTAAGGAATTAATATCCAAAAATGTAACAAACTCGCACAACTCAATAGTACAAAACAAATAATATGATTTTAAAATGGGTAGAAGAACTGAATAGACAGGTCCCCAAAGACATATAGATGGCCAACAGGTATTTGGAAAGATGCTCAACATCACTCATCATCAGGGAAATGCACATCAAAACCACAGTAAGATCTCCCCTCATTCCTGTTAGAATGGCTATCACCAAGAAGAAAAAAAAGGCAAGTATTGGCAAAAATGTGGAGAAATGAGAATGTTTGTGCACTTTTGTTGGGAATGGTGTAGGCATCCTTTCCTAAAAGGAAAAGGATTAAAAACAGCATAAAGTTTCTTCAAAAAGTAAAAATTAGAACTACTGTATGACCCAGCCATCCCACTTGTGGGTCTTGTTATCTAAAGAAACAAAATCTGAATCTTGAAGAGATATTTGCATTTCTGTGTTCATTGCAGCGTCATTCATAATAGCCATGATCTGGAAACAAATCTCTATTGACAGGTGAATGGAAAGAAAATGTGGTATACACATATGTCAGAATATGATTCAGCCTTAAAAAGAAGGAAATCTGGGTGGCTCGGTTGGCCAAGTATTTGACTCTTTCTTGGTTTTGGCTCAGGTCATGATCTCACAGGTTCATGGGTTTGAGCCCTGCATTGGGCTCTGCACTATCAGAACGGAGCCTGCTTGGATTCTCTCCCTTTCTCTCTGCCCCTCCCCTGCTTGCGTGTGCACACACTCTCTTTTTCTTTCTAAATAAATAAATAAACATTATTTTTTTTAAAAAAAGAAGGAAATCCTGCCAATATACTGCAATGTGGACAAATCTTGAGGACACGATACACAAAGACAAATAGGTCATAATTCCACTTACATGAGGTATCAACAATAGTCAAACACATAGAAGTAGAGAAAATGCAGTTGCCAAGGGCTGGGGGGTGGGGGAAACCATGGGGGTTGCTGTTCAATGGGGGTAAAGTTTCAGTTATGCAAGATGAATACATTCTAGCAATCTGCTATATAACACTGTGCCTAGAGTTAACTATGGGCTTAACATTTTAGGAGGGTAGATCCCACGTTAAGATAGTCTTACGACAATTAAAAAAAAAAAAAAAAAAGCTCTCTGGCTTCCCACCTTGTGCAAAGAAAAAGCCAGTCTTCATATTGGCCTTTAAGGCTCCACCCTCACCACTCTGCCTCATCGCTTACTGCCCCTCCTTCCCTCCCTCCTGCCACTGAGCCACATGGACCCCTGGCTGCTCCGCGGGGCACAAGTTCAGCTTCCACTTCATGGCCTTTGCACTGCTCTTCCTTCTCCCTGGTGTGTCCTCCTTTTCTGGATCTCTCCATGGTTCTATCCCTCCCTTCCTTCAGGTCTCTGCTCAAATGCTATCTTGTCATCCACCCCCCCTTGATTACTTCTCTAAAACTGCGTACGCGTGCATACACACATACTGTCTGTGTTCCCTATTACCTTCCTCTGCTTCGTTTTTGGCTGATAACCGAGCCCCTCCTGACATAGCCTGTAATCTGCCTATTCATTGGTTTGTGTTAGTTCTCTCTCACCAGAACCACAGAAAAGCTCCGTACCAGCACGTGGTGCCTGCCTGGTCCATGTGCTAGCACGTCCCCAACTCTTCAAACAGTGCCTGGCATACAGTAGACGCTCAGTAAGTGTTTGATAGATAAACCAACTGAAAATGAATGAAAGTGGCTTTCTGGCTTTTACTTTTGTCTTGTGAGTCTTATCAGCCTGAGAAAAATCATCTTCTAATTCATCGATTATAGAGGCACTAACGAACCAGGCAAGAACCAGACATGAACCGTAGGGACCCCACGGCTAGTCCAGTCTCGGACATCTCTCTGGGACTTCCACGGGAAGAATATTTCATCTCTACTCCTTTGGCAGCTGGCACCACCTCTCGGTCCTGCAAGAGCGCTAAGCTGCTGGATTGAAACCCGCGGCGCAAGGAGGTCATCTGGAATGGACGCATACTGGGCCCTGGGGAAGGAAGGCCTCTGGAAGCAGAGGCCAAGGTGAAAGGAAGTGTGTGAGCCCTGCACTGGGAAGTGTGTGATGGAGACTGACAGCTTTGCAGCAGTGAGAAAATGACTCAGACACCAGTCAGGACAATATCTGCTTGGGCTAGTCCTTCCAATTAATTTCTTATTTTCTAATGGTTAACTCATAGTGCAAAAGCCTGGCAAACACATCTGATGAAAGCTAACATCCCCAGTGATGACATGTGGCCCCTAATAAGATGTGAGAAGAGGCATACTTCACCTCCGGGCTGTTCTTTCCAAACCCAACCCCAGTCTAACCTTGAGAAGAACACTGGGCAAACCCGGACTGGGGATAGTCTGCAGAATACCTGGCCAGGGCTCAGTCAGGGTCACAGACAGCAAGGCCAGACTGAGAAACTGTCACAGACCAGAGGCGACTGAATGACTATGGCGTCTTGGAGGATGTTCACGGGAAAACCGGTACTTGAATTATATATACACTTGCTATACTAGCAAAGCAAGCGAGCCTCTTGAAAGCCAGCCCCGGGGACGGCAAACTGAGGCCGCTCATCTGGAGTCTTGCAGTGTCTCTGAGAGAACGCAGGGCTTGGCCTGTGTGTGAGGATGTGCTCACACACTGGGTCGTCCCTTTCAGTTCCCTCTGGGATCAATTCTCAGCTCTGTCTGCTCTTTCCAGGGCTGCCTTCCTGCCTTCCGTCCAGACCACAAACACGCTCTCCACTGCTCTCAGGTTTGAAAATTGTAATTTTTTCAGCCCTCACGTGTAAATCAACACACTGGCGCTCTCGGCACCGTCGTGACCAATCTCTGGTGTTTACCCTTCCTCACTGTCCCTCGTCCACTGTGACAGCTACAGGCCTGGGCTGAGCGTGCTTCTGCTGCGTGCATCTCCAGAACACACAAGTGCGAAAACAGAATTTAAACACATAAATGAACATGCCCTCAAACCGCCCCCACTTCTGTCTTCCTCTCCCAGGCCACCACGGGGAACACCAGGATGCCTCCGCCTTGCTCCCTCGTACTGGCCTGCACCATTAGGCTGGATGGCCTCAGCCACTGTTTCTGAAATTCCGATGGCCCGTTGATGCTGTGAAACCAACAGGCCGTGTAGGACATCCACCAGTACCCCACATCCCCCAGCGACATCGTCTTCTTATCCGGGACCCCAAACCTGGGTCCTGAGACTATGGTGGCCTCCATGGGCTCATAAGAGAAGGAATCAGGCTGGTGCTGATCCTAGTGCAGCAATTCTGAGAAGACAGGAGGCTGGAGTGCGTCGAAGGGAAAAGAGCAGGAGCCGGAAGCAACAGGGAGAAGCAAGGGCTTGACTTGCTCAAGGAAACACCCTGCTAGTAGGTCACTGAGTGAGGGATTGAGTCATCGGGGTTTAAGAAGAATCTAAAACTCAGTCAGATGAAGATAAAGAGCCTTTTCAAGGTTGAAAACTTCCTCCATGTCTTGCCACATTCTCTTTGTCAGTACAGTTTAATATCTAGAACATTCTGATCTCCTGCCCTCCTTCCTAATTTCCTTATCTTTTTTTTGGGGGGGGGGGGGACACAGAATCCGAAACAGCTCCAGGCTCTGAGCTGTCAGCACAGAGCCCGACACGGGGCTCGAACCCACGAACCATGAGATCATGACCTGAGCCAAAGTTGGATGCTTAACAGACTGAGCCACCCAAGCGCCCCTCCTACCTAATTTCCTTATCTTGTAAAATGGCATCAAAGTCTGCATAGTTGCTGGAGCAGACGACTCAGGAAGTTCTGGTATCTATCACCTTTCTCAGGTCATCAGTGATGACTGTCACTTCCACCCCCAGGAGACTTTCCGAATTCACTGCCTTATCAGCCCCCACCTGGACCACAAGAGCCCCCACCTCCAGCTCGGCCCCTTCCATTGTCAGAAGGGACTTTCTGAAATCCCAATATGACAGGGCCACTCAGAACCTACACACCGCTCAGGCTCCGCATGGCTTTGGGGGACGTCTACACACTGCCTTGAGCTCAGCACTCTTTACCCCCTGGATCTGGCCCCAGCCCCAGCCCCTCCACAGAGCTCCCTTTCGGGCTGCAGGGAACCACCCCGCCTTCCTGGGGCACCCGACACCCTTCTCTCCTCCGCGGCCTCTGCCGGGAAGGCTAGCTGCCTCTTCCTTGTTACTCAAGACCCGGCTCAACGGCTGTCTCCGGTGAGCCCTCCTGGGGTACACCCAGAGGCAGTTAGTTATGATCTCCTGCGTATATGATCCTCTGGGGCACTATCCTATTTTATTCTAATACCTCGTTTTACAGTAAACTTCTGAAAGGCAGAGGCTACGTGCTTGTCGGCCGGTGCGTCACAGCGGCTCAAAAGATGTTGTAACATGAATGAGTGTGATGGGGGAGTGGATGTGCACGGAGCCAGGACATGTGGGGGAGCCCCGAGTAGCATCCTGTGGTCAGAGTTACTGCCACATGCTGACCTTAAGCTGGGTGGGTGTGTGTGTGTGTGTGTGTGTGTGTGTGTGTCGGGGGTACTGGGACTGCTTTTGCTAGAGTATTTGCGGAATTTGTGCAAGAACAAGAGTGCACATCAAAGAAGATAGTGGGGGGTTGGGTTAAAAGGTGTTATTTACTGTAGAATTTTGGAGCCTAAAGTTTCTTATAGACCTGTGGGTGCCCAAGGCTGGGACAGCCAGAGAGTGTCCCCAACACATGTGAGCCCCAGGGCACTCCCTGTAGACTGCACTTTGGGAAACACAGGACTCAAATGGTGGGTTTTTACTGAGTGGCTGGGGAAGGAACCAGAACAAAGGTTTTGCTCACTCACTCATCATGGCCACTCTGGAATATGTCGATGATTTGAGAATCAAACATTGGGGTTTCTCGAAAAGACCAGAAGAAAAGAGACGTCATTTATGCAATCAAAAACCTTTATTCAGAATAAGCATTGACAAAATGAAGGTAGTCGCCTCATAAATGCAGGGCCACAGGGTGCTCAGAAGCAGATCGGAGAATGATTACGAAAAGACTTTGCTACGGATTAGAGTACGGAATCACACGGGGTGAAGACCCTCAGACGACGGCCCTCCTGCCGCGGCGCCGGCGCCGGGGCTCCGGGGACACGGGGGCGGAGGGGGGGGCTGCGCGCGGGGCGCTACTGCGGCTGCATCTGCCTCTTCAGCCCGGCGAGTCTCTGAAGACACTCGTCCCTCCACTGCCGCCGGGCAGCCAGGCGCTCCGGGTCCGCGGGGACCTTCAGACACATGGCCTGGGAACAGGAACGGGGCTGGACAGAAGGAACTCCCAGAACACGCGCAGGGACCAGCGTCCCGGGAAGAGCGGCCGCCCCGCTACTCCAGCTGCGAATCTGCTCGGGCAACGCAAGCGGCCTAGCAGCCCCTCAGTTAACACGCTTTGCAAACCCACAGCACCGCACACGGGCCCAGCTCCCCGGCCGCGCCGCTCTCGGGGCTCCGGCCGCCCGGACGGGGCCGTGGCGCGGAGTCCGGGGCCGGGGCCGCGGGAAGGAACGGCAACCAAGACCCACCCGGGCCACGGGGTCTGCGTACCTGGTTAACCTTTTCAACCGTGGCCCCGGAAAAGTCTGGAACGGGCCCGAACGTCTTCAGGACACGTTTCATGCCGTCGCTGTACCGGTCACAGTAGCTGCGCAGGCCTGAAAGCGTGCAAGCGAGCCCGCCAGGTGAGCGAGGGCGCCGCAGGGGGGTCCCCGGGCCCCCGCCCCCACACTGCTCCCCGCGGCCCCGCGTCACGACCCCAGCTTCTTTTTTTTTTTTAATTTTTTTTAATGTTTTATTTATTTCTAGGAGAGAGAGAGAGAGACAGCGTGAGCAGGGGAGGGTCAGAGAGAGAGGGAGTCACAGACTGAAACAGGCTCCAGGCTCCGAGCTGGCAGTCGGCACAGAGCCCGACGCGGGGCTCGAACCCACGAACCGCGAGATCATGACCTAAGCGAAAGTCGGACGCTTAACCGACTAAGCCACCCAGGCGCCCCAACGACCCCAGCTTCTGTCAGACCCTAAGACCCTCAGCAGTGACCGGCCCTGGGCCTCGGGCCGCGCCTCTCGGACTTCCGGGTGGGCCCGCGTTCCCGCAGCCGCTAGTTGGGAGTCACGTTGTCTTCACCAGAAAGCCCTCCAGCGCCGCGTCCCCGAGGCTGCTCGTGTGAACGGCTCGAACGCACGAAGGACGGAAGATGTCAAAGCTCCTCCATCTGCTCCGTGTCACACGCCGGGGCTCTAGCTACCCCGTGCCTGGGCGTCTACACGGCTCTTCGGCGCGGGCCGCGTCTGTCCGAGGGGCAGGCTCCGCCTGTTGCTCTGCTTCGGCCTCGGCCGTTGGACCCGAGCCCGGCGGCCTGTCCCCTGGCCGCGCTGCTCTGCACCTGCCCCCGCCGCTCCGGGCCGCCGGGAAGCCGGGCTGTCGGGGCCAAGACGGACCCTAGGGGTCCGGCGGGGACGCGTGGACCCTACGGTCCTGACGGGGACGCGGGGACGGGGGACCCTAAGGTGCTGACGGGGACGCGGGGACCCTAGGGGTCCGGCGGGGACGCGTGGAGAGGCGGCGGCAGGCGGAGCAGCGGTGCGGGCTGGGCGAGGCCGGGGCTGGCGTTTTCTGTTAGAGGCAGAGGTGCGGCGAGAGGAAGCACCGGGGAGGCTGCATCACCTGCTGACGCGGGCGGCCCTCCCGCTCTGCCCCCTCCCCGGGCAGCAGGCACCCCCCTCCCCACCTCGCCCCTGCCCGTGGGCTGCAGGCTCCCCGGGCGCCGGGCCGCCTGTTTGTTATCCCACCACCTGCCCGTGACCAGCGTTTTCCAAACGCAGACTCAGTGGTCGGTGAGTCAGGCTACAAAGAAAACATGGGAACAAACAGAACTGTAGATTTTGCAGAGACCAGCGCTGGGCTCTCACCAACCCCACAAAAATGGTGTATGATTAATTTCAAATAAAAATGATCACTGCTGGATACTCAAGAAAGGAAAGAAAAAAAAAAAAAAAAAAGAAGAAGACCAAGACAAGACAAGACAGCTTCTTTGGGGTCTGGTTTTGGTGCAGCTACACAGACGTTAAAGCTCAAATTCACTGGGTGTCAATCTTGGCTCAGACACTTTCCTTTCTCTTTCAGGTGCTAAAATTAAATCCAAATTTAAATTTAAAATTAAATCTTAGAGGAGAAACTTTGAAGGGCAGACATTTCAAGCACACCAAGTTTTCTGACATTAGTACCCATAATTAAGCAGCAGATACCTCTTCTTAAAATAAGGAGTTTTGAATAAAAATAAGGAACTTTGTTTCCTTTAACAAACTTGACAGCTCAGAAGTCAGGAAGGCTGCCTCACGTCCAGGTGCTGGCTGGTTAGCTCGAATGGCGCACCACCTGCACGTTTATTTCCTTTTGAAAATTAAATGTCTACTTTGCTTCCATTTGTTTATTTATTCGAAATAAAGGTGATAAAATCTAGACACAAATACAGTGTATTCCTTTTGGTGGGGCAGAGACCCCAGAATCAAATAAGGTATAAAGACACTAACCAGCCGAAAACGGGAGGAGCCCCTGGCGCTGCGGGTCGCCCCCCTGGAAAGAAAACAGCGGCTCTCGAGAACCAATCCCCCCCGCAGCCCCGCGGGAGCAGCAGTAACCCACAGGGTTCGCTTCACGTACCTGCTTTCACTTCTGGATTACGTTACGTCTGCTGAATACATGTTCACCATTCCTATCCCTGTGAGGTCATTTTAGTCTCCCAAGGGCGTTCTAGAACTTTTGTCTCTCTGCCTTTTATAAAATTTGTAGTTTTAAAGGGCATTTCTTTCTTTTTTTTTTAGTTTTTTAAATGTTTATTTTTGAGAGAGAGAGAGAGCACAAGTGGGGGAGGGGCAGAGAGAGAGGGAGACACAGAATCTGAAGCAGGCTCCAGGCTCTGAGCTGTCAGCACAGAGCCCGACGCGGGGCTCAGACTCATGGACCACGAGATCATGACCTGAGCCAAAGTCAGACGCTCGGCCAAATGAGCCACCGAGGTGCCCCAAAGGGCATTTATTTCTTCAAAAGGGAATATAATATGGTAAAATTCCTTACAATATAATTCACAGCATCCCCTATACTGTCCAGGAAACCAGTGCAAATTTCACTCTTACTAATATAAACATACTTTCTGTAATGCACACTCAGGCCCTTGGGACAAACAGCGCGTGGTTTGTGGTGAGGCTAAGGGACCAACAGGGCGTGTGCGTGTGCAAACTGTCCCTGTCACCTGGAGAGAAGCCTGACGCCCTCAAGAGGGCTCTCCCACTTACCCAAAATGCAGTTCGCGGTGACTTACAGTCAAGGTCTGGATGCCCCAGTGCACCGATCGCTGCTGTTACTTGTAACATCTTCTCTTCCATTAGAGAAGTGGTAAAAGGAGCATCTTACTCCATTTGCACCACAACTGTGGCTTCTATACACTATGAAAGGAGAGTTGAGTGACAACTATCCCATAATACTAACCTCACTGGAAATGGGAAGGAAAAGGAACCCCTTCACCTTTTATTCTTCTAGTCCGTCCCCTTTTATTCTTCTAGTCCGTCCCCCCCTTACGTGACTCTGAAATCCGGCCTTCGCCTGTGTTTTGCCTCCTACACTTCCTTGCCCTCTGTCGTGTTCAACAATATATTTCCCAAAACTCTCCAGAGTTTAGCTTCTTGGAAGATTTCGAACCTAATTTCTTAAGAGATAGAATAAGAAAAAGTGGGGGAGAGAAGCGATCCTGAGACTAGACTCCGCTTAGCTTGCTGCTTTCTAGCTTGGAATTCTTTAGTTGTGAGCCCATCAGTGCCTTCTCGAACCTGCAACACGAGCCAGGGTGGTGGAGAGCACGCCTTCCCCCACTTGCATTCACGTCGGCAGGCGCGGCCTCCTGTCGCCCGTGGCCGTGGCCACTGTGACGCGCTCTGGGTGTTCAGTTTCTTGGAGAGCCCTAACCGCTACCCGCGCCAGGGGAGTCTGGTTTCCATGCAGCGCATGAACCCACACGCACGTGAATTCACCTGCTTATAAGAGACAGAGTTTCACAGAACTTTCTAAGATAAAAAAGGCCCCAAAGCACAGAGCAACATTATCTAATTCCGACCCGAGTGAGAGCTCACCGGCGGCCGGGGAGGCGGGTGGAGACGACAGACACCTACCTGGGTGGGCACTGAAAACAGCAGCTCCAGGTAAATGAGCCAAAGCCACCAAGCGGGCCTCAATTAAAAAAAAAAAAAAAAGCCCAGCATCTCTACACACAGGGAAATTTTACGAGGCAGGATGGTAAACATTCGCTTAGCTGGAGGGGATTTCCGCCCGCCAGGTTCTGAGGCGCTCAGTCCCCGGCAGAAGTAAACCCCCCAGGTGCCTGAAGAGCCGCCACGTGTGAAACGCGCAGGTCTCTTCGCTGAACCTGTGGTCTCAAAGCTAAGCGAAGAAACAAACCCAAGAGTTTAAGTCTGGAGATTCCACTGTTCTGTTGCAAAAATGTCCTAATCTGTAATCATTCTGTATTTCTTCCTCACGCACTTACGAGTGGCTTAGTCGGTTGAGCGTCCGACTTTTGCTTAGGTCAGGATCTCGCGGTTCGTGGGTTCGAGCCCCGCGTCGGGGTCTGTGCTGACTGCCAGCTCAGAGCCTGGAGCCTGTTTCAGTCTGTGACTCCCTCTCTCTCTGACCCTCCCCTGCTCATGCTGTCTCTCTCTCTCCTAGAAATAAATAAAAATACTAAAAAAAAAATAAACAGGACGGACGCTGTATGAACAGAACACTGATTAACGGACCTCACCTGTGTCTGCCATCCAGCCGCCATGCGCATCTGGCTGACCCCTCACGCCACCCTTGGAAGGTAGTCACTGTCGCCACCCCCATTTTATGGGGGATAGGAGAGGGCTCGTTTACACAAGGCTAGTTAGCTTAATTTTTTTTTTTTTAATTTTTGAGAGAGAGAGATAGAGAGAGAGAATGAGTGGGGGACAGGCAGAGAGCAAGGGAGACAGAGCACGAGCAGGAAAAGGCAGAGAGAAAGAGAAAGACACAGAATCCGAAGCAGGCTCCAGGCTGTGAGTCCGACGCAGGGCTCGAACTCACGAACTGTGAGATCATGACCTGAGCCGATGCTTAATTGACTAAGCCACCCAGGTGCCCCTAGGCTCGTTAGCCTAGAAATCAGGTAGGGACCCAAGCCAACGGGTTCCACTGACCAGACCCCCTATTCTGAGAGCCTGTCCTTGCTGAGGGTCCTTTGAAAAAGCAGCCAAAAGGCAAAGTAGGCAAGCTGGCCTCCTGCTTTTTAGGGGTCGTTTTATTAGGTTAAAAACAAATCCTAAAATATTTTCACCACTTCTAGATAAGCTGTAGCTTTAAGACTAATAACTAGCCTTAACCTGAGATGCTGGCTTTATGAAAACAACATCAGAAAAAAAGAATGTTGTCCCTCCAATCTTGATATATTCTGGATGCCACTGTGCAGGATAATGAACATTTCCATTGGTTCCAAGCCAGATCTCTAACTCTTCTCATGCTCTTCGGAATGCTCTGAAGTGGAAAACTACATCCGTCCACCATTATCATGTTTAGCCAATTAGGTTTTCTTATCATACCTGCTTTGTTTGAAAAATTGCTACGAGCCTCCTTCCTGTCTGCCACGCTATTTGGTTCCTGAGTTTCTGGTTTCATTGGCTTCTGTTTCCATTTGTCTCAGAGTCAAAGCTGTTCTCAGCTGTCTCCCTATTGATTTCTCATGATACCTAAATTCCCTTATTTTTCTGAAGAAAAAAAAATTAAAGAGAAAAACATGGTAGTTATCAAGTGGTGTTGATATACATGCCAAGTGTTTAAATACGTTTGCCACCTTGAAGGTTCTGGCTGCAAAAGCATTTGAAATCCTCCTCAAGGATACTTTGGAACCCTCATTTCACGTTTATGAGGGCTGCTCTCTTCACATGATCCTCCTGTGTTCAACAGTCCTCCGAGCACAGATGGAAGACGCTCGTGCGAGGAGAGTGCCCCATTCCTGCGGGGCCTCCCGGCCGTGCTCGGTGTTCAGGAAGGGTCGGGTCAGGTATCGAACCCCATCAGCGTGACACACAAGGCATCGTGTGCACCTGCCAGGGTCCATCTGGTAAAACTGCCAGTATTCACTGTATTCACTGGAAATCTTAGTTCATTACAGTGCTGAAAACTTGAAGTATTACCAAAACATTGTGGAATTACAAAGTCTAAGTCAAACAGACTCCCAGAAGTCATTTCCAGTGAAGCTGGAAATGAGACAAAGGTCTCTGCTCAATACCTAAACATCTTGCCGAGTGGGTAACCAGCCCCGACTGCTCTCCACTCACCCACGCGCAGCATGGCCCTCTCCCTCACCGCCCGCTCCAGGTACCAGGCACTCCCGGCCACGCACTGGGCCCAGACCTGTCTGTCTGCCACATCATCCCCACAAAAGACGTCTGTGCATGTTCACACACATGTCTCTGGTCACCTTCTTCTGGATAAGCTCCACTTTCTCAATATTTCAGGTAAGTGTGGACCCTTGGAGCTAAACACAATATTCCTTTTCTCCTTCTAAGGATCTTTTACAGGGTAATAATGTAACTATTAAAATAATACGGCAATAATTATGAAAACTGTAACAACACAGAAAGGCAAAGAGGTGATAAAAGTTACTTATAATCCCAACCCTAAGACACAGCAGGTAGTAATGACATTTAGGTGATATTTGCCTAGACTTTTATTCGTAGCTTTTTAAACTTATTTTGTCTCAGTTTGGCATAGGTTTTAGTGCTTGTTTTCCAAATGGCGTCCTGTTTCTGATTCTCCTGAAGTGTGGCTGACAGTTTCATTCTCAGAAGCTTCTCACCTTTCTCAATTTATCTTTTCGTTGGAGTCACTATCTCGTGCGTCCGTCCTTTCCACCAGGTCCTTTGAAGTTGGCTTCTGGGGTGAATGACTGGCCTGGCCTGAACTGCTGCCCGGCCCCACGTCCGGCGGAGGCGCCTCCCTCCTGGCCTCCCAGCCTTCTGGCGGGAAACCTCCAGCTCAGAATGTCACCCTCAGGAGGTGCCCATATTTAGGCAGGAGACACGCACAGCATTCCCTGTCTGTTTTCCTCGCCTCCGTCAACAGCTGCATCATCTTTCTCAGGAAAACACAACTTTCTGGGTAACACGTGGCAAAGTCCCCACGACAACAGGCACCCGTCTTTCTCATCATTCCGCTGAGCGCTCTCTCCGCGCAGAGCCCTGCGGCTCAGGGATTCCGTGTGGAGTGACATCTCCGGACACGGCGATCTGCCCTGAATCACCAGGGCCGGCCACTGTCTCCTTCATACGATACTGTTTCTATTCAGTCGTTGAAAACAAGGCGAAACTGCACTGTTTACAAAACCCCTAAGAACACTACCCAGCACGGAATTCCCCTCCCAGCCCCTGTGGAAGCAAAGCGTACCTTCCGCGTTGAGATGCATGGTTTCCAGGGGTCCGATGAACGCATACCGCATGCCCAGCCCATCTGACATGACAAGGTCAAGGTCACTCGGAGACACTACTCCTTCCTAAAGGGAGAAAACGGCGCGGCACACAAATGAGTCTTCCGGAAAAGACAATGTTCTTCCATCTTTTTCCAGCTAACTCCTTGGGAGCACAACACCCTCTCCAAAGCTCCAGAAAAGTATTTTCAGCCAACCTGGCAGGACAAAACTGTACTTACACACAGATCCTGAGGAGAGAGTATTATGTGAAAGGGTCAAACACCAACTCACTTTTTCCAGAGCTGTGATCAACCTCCCACCTTCCTGTGTCCATCTCCATGTCTTCCCTTCCCTACCCTGAAAGCTGTGTAAGGCTTGCAGCTGTGGAGAAGGGGGAGAGGGCGAAGGGAAGGGGAGCAGAGTGGGGTGTGGGTGGGACAGGGCAAGAAGGAACTTCTACGTGTCTGCCTGTGACCTGGACGCCCAGACGGGAGCCATCAAAGAACGAAGAGTCATTCTCTGGGCCTTGCCTGCCTGCAAGCCTGGCCCTGTCCAGCTTTCAGTGAGTTTATGAAAATGACACTCTTTGATGAAATGCAGCTTAGAACTGGTGCTGTTTGCGAGGTGGGGCCCTGGAATCCTCTGCAAACGTGAACTGCAGGGCAAGCGGCACGTTGCTATGTGTGCGAGTTACATGTCAGATTGGCCATCTGTGTTACTTGGAAGAAGTAACCTCTCCGGGCTTCTGGAACGAGCAGGGACGCGGGAGCACGTGCGTGTGATCGGGGAGGCCACCGCCACTTCCGTCTCCATCCGAGGGTATCTTTTCCTTGGGCAATTGGGCCAGAAGGCAGACAGGGAAGCTGGCAGAATCCTGCCCCGCCCCCCCCGCCCCCAACCCAGTCTTCACTGGTCAGACTGCTCGAGTTTCGGCGAAGTCTCCAGTCCTTCTCTGCTGCCTGGTTTCCTTCACAAAGAGCATGGTGAGGACAGAGCTCTCCCGCCCGACGGCCTGGCCAAGTCCGCCTTCTCTGAGAGGCCACCGAGCGCGGCGGCACCGGCTCACACCTTCTCCACGGCAGCCTCGGTGGCCCCCAGGTCCCAGAGGGGCGGAGGAGGCGCTCTGCTGTGGAAATCTCGGCTCTGTCCAGACCCCCAGGGGCCGGCACGTCCCCTCAGCTCCCAGGAACAGGCTCGGACACGTGGCCCGCCCTACCCCACCTCTTCTGCCCTGGGTTACAGAGCAAATCCTTTACTGTTCGTTGGAACGGCCGCCCGTGGACCTGCTGAGAGCACGTCCATGGGGCAGAGGAGAGCTTTCAGTGAGGGCTTTACAGGCCCTCTGGCCAAGGAGGAGAGCCCGCTCGCCCTGCAGGCAGCTCTGGGAGGTCTGGGCTGGAGCCTAGAGCCCCCCCCAGCTGTCCCCCCTCCTCCTCCAGGGACTCCCCGACATCACTACTTTCCAGACTTCAGTCACCAAGACAGAGAGAGGAAGGGGACTTGTACCCTCTGCCTCCATCACCTGCATCAGCTGCTGAGGGAGAGAACACCGGCCTCTCAGGTCGCTGGGGGCGTCTGGACCGCCACCGCGATGTTGGGGAAGGGACTGGAAAGGGGGCGGGGCCAAAGAACCAAAAAGACAGAGCCACCCCCGAAGGGCAAGTACCGTTTAGGCGTGACTGAGAAACTGAAAGAGCTACCTTCCATCTAGTCTTGTGGGGGGGGTGGGGGGGGATAAACAAAGAAGGCACAAGCCGTACGCGAGTGGTTTAGAGAGTACTTGCAGGGCAGCCCTGGGCCCACCTGCCGGCCCGCGACGCCTGTCCTCGGGACTGCGCCCCCCCCCCCCCAGGCGAACATGCAGACTGCTGTAGTAACTACTTCTCTACTTTTAAGATCTGCCGCCTGTGTTTACGCTCCTGAAGCACAGCTCGCCTTTTGCCTCTTTTCCTCCTCTTCCAAATGGGCTCACGCTGTGCATTCCTCTGTGATTTGCTTCCTTCACTCAAGCTGATGCCTTTGAGACTCGCCTGTGTTGTGTGCAGCAGTAGTCTGGCCTCCCTGTGACATATAAAGTCATAGGTCACTAACCCAGCGTGCTGCTCACCAACGTTTGGGGCCACTCTTGTTCCTGGCCCTGGGGGCACGCATCCCAGAGGAGCGCGGCGGCCTACGGCACACAGCCGGCGACTTGACTTGGCTGGACGGCTAGGTGCCTCCCAGGCGGGTGTCCCCGTGCGCACCGCCGCCGGCAGTGGACATGGGTCCCGTTGCGCTCCACAGCCTCTCCGGCACCGGATGCTGTCACACTCGCGAGGCACTGCCAGTCTGCTAGGCTGTGACGATGCCTCACCGGGTTCCTCTCCATCCCAAATCATCCTACCGAATGTCCACCTGGACTACAGAGACCAAACTAATTTATTCAGTTCACTCAAAGGCCAACAGGTTTTACCTCACTTCACTTCACTTCACTTCACTTCACTTCACTTCACTTCACGACAAAGCTTTAAATGGGGAGGAGGCAGTGACAAGGAGGCAATGCTAACCAAAAGGTCCAGAGAAATGTCCAGAACTGCCAAGAAACTGACTGTTGGAAGGATTCCTGCCTTCCTCTCCCTCCTCATCAAGCTCTTAGGGCCAGACAGGTGGCTGCAGGTCCCTCCCCAGGCTGCCTAGAAGCATCTGCTGTAGCATTTCTGCACCCTGGGAGCTCAGGAATCCAGGCGAGGGCTCTGCACGCCCTCCCTCGCCCTCCCTTGGGGTCCAGGTCAACATCCCCAATGTCAAGTATCCCTACAGCACTCAGACTGTAAAGGATGCAAATACGACGTCATCTGCCACTTGTGGTGCTTTTCACCTCCACTCTCTTCCTCTAGAATTGTGTTTAGTATGTGTACATCTGACTTCTGAAGGACCTCAGAATACCCCAAAAGTGAGCCATATAAGAGTAGTAATTTTAGGTCTGTAAGTATGTGAGCTCACAGTGACCTCGACCAAATAAAGCCATAGAAGGATTCTCCACACGACGGCACCACGTGGTGGAGGAGCCACACTTTCCTCCAATTCCCAAATGGTCTTCAAAATGACCATCTGTGTCTTATCAGTTACTCTCCAGTAGTTGAACAAATAAGAGGGAAAGAGCCTTAATATCTTCTCTTCCTCAATCCTTCTCTCTGCCCCATTTGGATTTTCTGAAGCAGATTCTCGAAGTTTGAGTCTTTACCCAGAAGCTAAATGCAGAGAAAAGAAGTGGTCACAAGTAGTAATTCGGCTGCACTCAGCACTGAACCAAGGGTTCACACCGAGGATATTTTGCAGCTCAGAGTGCTTCATTTTGCTGTTAAGCCTCACTCCACCTGGGTCCTCAGTGACATCTGGGGTCTAGATGCTAATATTCTCCATAATAATCACAACTGATAATCACGGTGGCGTAAGAGGCAGAAAGAGGTGCTTGAGTTGAACACACTGATCTGATAATCGATTCCTTGAAAATAGGCTGCACGCCGTACACTTGTGTGAAGAATGAAACCCTATCCCACTCCAGTGTCTGTGGTTCAGTGAACATTTGTCAGCATAGCCATCAGTACTTCCTTCATTCTGTGGCATAATTCTCAAGTCACACAGAAAAAGAAAAGCCCCAAGTGGTTAAAAGATTCCAAAAACTCATGTAAAGCAACGAATACTAGACCACTGTTAGTTTAAACCCTGGTTTGCAGGGCACCTGGGTGGCTCAGTTTGTTGAGTGTCTGATTCTTGATTTGAGCTCAGGTCATGTTCTCAGCATCACGGGATCAAGCCCTGTGTCCAGCTTTGAGCTGAGTGTGGAGCCTGCTTAAGATTCTCTGTCTCCCCCTCTACCCATCTCTCCTGCTTGCACTCTCTCTCTCTCTCTAAAATAAAAAAAATAGGGGCACCTGGGTGGCTCAGTCTGTTAAGCATCCGACTCTTGATTTTAGCTCAGGTCATGATCTCATGGTTCATGAATTCAAGCCCTGTGTTGTGCTCTGTGCTGACAGCATGGAGTCTGCTTGGGATTATCCCTCTCTCTCTGCCCCCCCCTCCTCACTTGCATGCACGCATGCTCTCTCTCTCTCTAACTAAATAAACTTTAAAAATAATAAAATAATTTTTTTAAGTTTGCATCATGTCCTGAAAAATCACTCAGCAAGGAGGCCACCAGCGTGCTAAGGAATCCCCTTTATTGAAACTTTCTTCCCTCTAATTCCTTTAGCTAAAACCTAAGACTCCTCACGACCAGCCAGCACACGCTCTGTCCCAGCCCGCTGGGAGCGCATGCCCAGGCCGGGGGTGGGGCACCAGGCCCGCCGTCCGCAGGCGAGGAGAAAACGCAAGACAGTTACTAAAGTGCTCAATTACCGTGATACAAACTGTAAGTACAGTTAAAGGTTTGGGGACGCGGCAGGCAGGATCCTACCAGAGAGCGAGAACTCAGAGGTTATATACACGTAGAGAGATTTATTTCAAGGGACTGGCCTGTGTGATTGAGGGCACGGACACGTCTGAAATCAGGAACAGGAGCTGATGGTGGGGACCTCAGTTCTGCTCTTAAGGCCTTTCAACCGATTGGATGAAGCCTTCCCAGGGGATTGAGAAAAATCTCCTGGACTTAAAGTCAACTGATTATAGAAGTTAAACTAATCACATTTACAAAACAACTTTACAGCAACATCTAGCCCACGTCTGACTGAATATCTGGGCACTCTGGCCCAGCCAACATGACCCTCTCCAGTGGACAAGGTCAAAGCACAGTCCTCACCTTCAGATATCCTAGGTCTAGCCCTTTGTTTGTGGGGTGGGGAAAGGAGAGAAGACACACCGAATGGCCAGCAGTAGGCAAAAGGCTGATCTGGTTTTCCAGACAGGGGAGACGGGCTGGCATCGTTTAGGGATGAGCACTGATGCATGAACCTCCGGGGACAACTTCCCCTACAGCTCACCAGCTACACAGATTTGTTTTTCCTCCTCTTTGATCATCTCATTATCATATTAAGTTTTCTGAGTCAATTCATGTAATTTCTGCAGGCCCTCACTTTCATTCCCTTTGCCCATTTTTCTTCACGCCA